AACTTCAACAAAATAGTAGCAAACAAATCTAGCAACATATAAAAAGAATTATACATCATGACAAAGTAGGATTTATCCCAGTGATGCAAGCTTAATTAACACTCAAAATTCAACTAATGCACTATACCATATCAATAGAATATAAAACAAATAGCACATAATCATATCAATATATGTAGAAAAAGCATTTGACAAAATCCAGCACCTTTGCATGATAAAGGCACTCAACAAACTTGAAATAAATGTGCATTTCTGATAAAGTCATCTATTAAAAGCCCACAGCTAACATCATAGTTAATGTTAAAAGAATGGATCTTTCCCCTCTAAGATCAGAAATATAAAAATGGTGTCCCCTCTTGTTTTTCTATTCGCCATTGTACTGGAGGGTCTAACCAGGACAATTAGATAATAAAAAAATAAATAAAAGGTATCAGATTAGAAATGAAGAAATAAAACTTTATTTGCAGATGATAGGGTCTAATATATAGAAAATCCTAACGCATCCATAAAAAAGCTAATAGCTTTTGTAATATAACTGATAAATGAGTTGAACAAAGTTGAAGGATACAGGATCAATATAAAAAATTATTGTATTTTATACATTAACAATTTCAAAACTCAAAAATAAAATTAACAAACAATTCTATTTATCATAGCAGCAAAAAAATAAAGATATTTAGGAGAAAAATTCTCAAAACAATTTTAAGACTTACACACTGAAAACTATAAAACATTGCTAAAAGAAATTAAAGAAAATCTAAATAAATGTCAGAAAATCTAAATAAATATATGCAGGAATTGAAAAGACTTAAAATTGTTAAGGTGGTAATACTCAAATAGGTCTACAGATCCAACACAATCCCTATCAAAATCCCAATCATCTTTTTTTTTTCAAAAATAGGCAAACTATCCTAAAATTTGTATGGAATTTTTAAAGGCCCAGAATAGCCAAAACAATCTTGATAGAGGACAGCAAAGTTAGAGAACTCATACTTCCAATTTCAAACTTATCAAGCCACAGTATTCAAGACTATGTAACACTAGCATAAGGATAGACAGCTCAGTGGAATAAAATTGATATTCCAGAAATAAACCCATATATTTATGATCAAGTGATTTTGACAAGAGTCTAAAAACAATTCAATGGGTAAAAGAATAGTCTATTAAACAAATGGTGCTGTGACAATATATGTCCATATGTGAAAGAATGAAGCTGGATCTCTATGTCATATCATATACAAAAATAACTCAGAATGGATTCAAGACCTAAATGTAAGAGCTAAGAACTACAAAACTTTTAGAAGAAAACATAGATATAAGTCTTCATGACCTTGAGTTAGGCAATGATTTCTTACACATGACACCAAAAAGTAGGTAAATTGGACTTCATCAAAATTTTTAAAACTCTTTCACTTTATTTAAGGACATTATCAAGAAGGTAAAAGTATAATCCACAAAATGGGAGAAAATATTGGGAAATCATATATCTAAAAAGAGACCGTGTATCTAGAATATATCAAAAACTCCTATAACGCAACAATAAAAGGACAATCCAATCTTAAAAAAGGGCTAAGAATTTGAGCAGATATTTCTCCAAAGACAGACAACCAGTAAGCACACGAAAAGCAGCTTGACATCATTAGTCATCAGGAAAATGCAAAGCAAAATCAGAATCAGAGACCACTTCATTCCCACTAGGGTAGATATAATTGAAAAGACGGCCAGTAACAAGTGTTGTTGCAACGTGAAGATCCTAGTACTGTAACACATTGCTGACAAGAATGTAAAATGATATAGCCACTTTGGAAGACAGCTTTGCAGTTTCTCAGAAAGCTTAGCATAGCGTGACCATGTGACCCAGCAATTTCACTTCTAGGTATATACACAAAAATACTGAAACATACATCTACACAAAAACTTGTGTATATCTTCACAGCAGCATTAATCACATGCACTAAAAGGTGGAAGCAATCCAAATGTCCATAACCAATGAATGGACAAACAAAAGGTATGATATGTTCATACACTAGGGTATCACTGAGCCCTAAAAAGAATGAAATACTGACAGATACGACAACATGATGAACCTTGAAAACATTCTTCTAAGTGAAAGAAGACAAACACATACTGTATGTGTGTATGATACCATTTATATGAAATATCCAGAATTGGTAAATCTATATAGACAGAAAGTAGACTGGTAGTTGCCAGAGGACAGGGGAGTGGAGAATGGGGAGTAATTGCTAATGAGTGGGCTTTCTGTTGGGGGCAATGAAAATACCCTGGTGTTAATGGTGATAATTGTGCAACCTTTGAATTTACCAAATCAACTGAATTGTACACTCTAAAAGGGTGTGAGCTTCGTTATGTATGAATTATATATCAAATTTTTAAAACCATAATAAATGGAGCTTTAGCTACGTTTGATTTTTCAGTATCTTCTCTGGTTTTGTGTTGAAATGTCCTAGGATTTCTGCAAGGAAAATCCTCCAAGGAAAATCATTTCCTCTAAGGAAAATCCATTCATTTAAAAGCACTACTTTTGATTTCCAGTTGAGGATGGGCCATAAATCCAGATCACAGAGTGTCTCCCCCAGTAATCAACACAATGAACAAAAAGTGATTCACAGGTAAGCAGATCCACACACTCCCTGGCAGCAGGAGAAGGGAAGGAGAAGTCTCACTGCTCAGGCGGGGCACGCCGGCTGCCACACTGCCCCCAGGCTCACCTGGCCCCATCTCCACCCCAACGCAGAGAAGCTCAAGGTACCAGATCCTCGTTCCCTCAGAAAATATGTCCCCATTTGGAGAGACGTGGCCTGAGGGAGTGAGCAAAAAACCTGAGGCGAGGCCTCCGCAATACGAGCTCTGCTCCTGCGGCCCCTGGGACCTCGGCACCTCCCAAGGACAACCTGCGGGTGTCCTCACAGCTCGGCGCCGAGGGCTCGCACGCGGGGTCTCCAGGGCCCCGGCTGCCCCACGGGAGGAATGGAGCCGCCCGGGAGGCTGCCCCAAACAGGGCCACCCTCTCCCCGCCCTCAGGCCCATTCAGTGGACACAGGAGTGGCCATCAGACAAGGGGAGGTGGACGTCAGTGCAGGTACCACAGTAGCAAGCTACAGGCAGGGGCCCTCGTTACCGCTCGGGTTTAGAAATTACACGCGGACACTCATATTTGGAGTCTACGTCTTTCTCCATGGGTAAGATCCTGTCTGCTTCATTGTCTTTTCCCAAAAGTCCTTCAACTTTTATTATACAGAAATATATACAGGACTTGATACCTTAAGTAGACTGCCAGAGAAGCACAGTAGTTAAATTAACTGCCCCCCACTCATTTTTGTAACTGTTATTTTAATAGTATGTATTTGACTTTATGCAACATTTCAAATATAGGAAAGCATAATAATTAATACAAAAGATACCTATGCATCCAGCACCTAGATTAAATGTGTTAAACCTTTTGCTCTCTTACATGCTTCCTTTTTTAAAATGAAATGAAATTTGTCAAACTTCCTTTAGATGATGGATAGATAGGTGATATTAACAGTAAAATGTTAATGGTAGAATCTAGATGGTGAGTATATAGGTGTTCACTGTAAAATTCTTTGTGTATATTGGAACATTTTCATTATAAAATGTTAGGGAGGAAAATACAGTTGACAAACACAGCCAAACCCAACCCATCCCCACCCCTGCCCCGTCCTCGGTTAGCCTAGAGTTGGTGTATAATATTCTTGAATGTTTTATACTCTTTCTATACATGTATTTATCCATAAACTGCATATTTATTATTTACATGTTTTTAAATTGTTTATAAATGGTGCATAGCCTTTTGCAATGGTCTTTTCCATTCTATTATAAATTGTGAGATTTATCCTGGTAACACATGTATACTGATGAATTCTTTTAAACTGCTATGTCCCGTTACATACAAAATAAAAAATGTGTTTCCCCACTCTCCTACCAAGGGCATTCGGGTTGCTGCACGCTCTGCCTCTAACCCTCCTTATACACATCTTCCTGTCCTGGCTTGCCGAAGTTTCTAGCAGCCTGGACAACACAGATCCTTCACAGGCACCTCTGAAACGAATGTCTCAGAGGGAACCCCAGGGACTAAGGAAAAGTCTTCATAATAACGAAGGCAAGGCTAGACACTGACTTCATAACTAAGTCACAGAATGTAGCTGTAGAGGTTGGAGAAAGAAAAAGTAAATTTAGAAGTAAAGTTTTGTTTACAGTGAACGCATTATAATAGATTTTCATTATGAAAATTCAGTCAAGGACAGAACACTGAATGACCAACATGACGCATATTATTTTTTAATGCTTTATGCTGCATGGAATATTCTTATGACCTGAGGAAACTCAATGTTAGAACCTGAACATTTTTTTATAATCAACGAAATATCTCACAATCCCTGTTCACATTCACTGTTTCATCTAACACTTTAAAAAGCTGTCAGGCCCACTAGCATTACTCCTGCCTCACAGAACTGCTGAGACCAGAGAGCTCAGGGAACTCGCCCCGAGCCACACAGAAGGCAAACAAGCTACAAAGCTGTCCAGCTGCAAAGGCCACGAAGCAGGGACCGTGCTGGTGGCGGCATCGTGCCCCACGGAGGGGCTTCCTGAGGCACGACTTTGGCTAATCGTGAGGACAAGGACAAAGGGGTGCGTAGAAGCTGTGGTGACAAAGACCCAAGGAGGTGACATGTGGAAGCATCATGTGGCTGCAGGGGAAACAGAACAAAAATTATGACGAAGTGGCTTTTCTGTCACCTTGGCTACCATCACTATAGTTTCAAGAAAATGTTTTTCTACACATTCGAAGAGCCATCCATATGTTGGCTTCCATCTGTCAGCTTCCTGCGCCACAGCCCAACACCGACCAGGTGTCCCCGAGCCTCGTGACTAATTGTGGCTCTCCAGAGCACACATCAGAAGGTCAAAGGTCACAGAATGGCAGAGGCCGCTGCAAACGGCCTCACAGCGCCACTCACCGATCGTGGAGAGCAGGGATCTTGGCAGGACACTGCAGATACTGCTTAAACCGGAGCTCGAAGGCTTGTCCGATGGAGCCAATGACGTCTTGGGCCAGCCCGTCGCAGCATTCCAGAATGTGGCAAGCTGGGAGAGCAAGGGACACAGGCCCGTTAGAGACAGACACTGGCGTTCCCCAAGCTCTCCTCTATGAAGAGCCCTTCCTGAGGACAGAGGGACTAAGAGGTGCATGCTTCCTTCGTAATATGTCCTAGCTGATCTGCGTGGAGGCAGCATCTTGCTCTGCTGCCCAGGCTCGAGTACAGTGCCATGGCATCCGCACAGCTCACAGCAACCTCACACTCTAGGGCTGAAGTGATCCTCCTGCCTCAGCCTCCTGAGTGGCTGGGAATACAGTCCTGTGCCACCACGCCCAGTATTATTTTTTTATATTTTGTAGAGACGGGGTCTTGCTACGTTGCTCAGACTGGTCTCCAACTCCTGGCCTCAAGTGATCCTTCAACCTTGGCCTCCCAAAGTTCTGGGATTACAGGCATAAGCTGAACCTATAGGTTCCATTTTTAAATACATTTAAAATTTTTCAAGTTCAAATTGATGATTCTTCAATTTCTTTAGATTTTATAAAACATCGGTTCTGACCTTCACAGGGAAGAATGTTTAGAAGGAGACCTCAACAGGACAAACAATCTGATCTTGGCATGAACCAAGTCTCCCCAGGGCCCAAGAGGTTTAAAACATGGACTTAAACTGGCATCTAGTCAATGAATCTTGGTCTATGCAATGGACTCAGAGCAAGTTGTTCACTTGGTGGGAGTAAAATGTTGACCGCCAAACGTGGCCACTCGAAACAAACTCTGAAAATGAATGTAAAGTGACATAAATTCTCAGCATGAACCCCCCGACAGCATGCCACTTGCACCTGCCTAAATTTGACTTGCTATTCATGCAGATTCTCAGAGAAGCAGCTTGTGCCAACGAGTAGATAAAAGTTAGACGTATCTGTGGGTCGAACGACAGCCACTCCGAGGCCAGTGGGGAGGCCTGGAGCAGTGCTTATGCTCAGCAGCGGTGCCAGCTGTCACACGAGGACATGCTGTCCTGGCGGCAAGGCTGTGGCGTAATCTCCTTCAGAAACAAGCGTGCCTCCAGCCTCTGCCTCACGAGCAGGCGGTACCCCTCCCCAGCGCCCTGGCCGTGCCTCTGTCCTGGGCACACGTCTGCAGTGCCCCGCCAGGAGCACCCACCTGTCCCTCGCATAGGGGCTTCGGATCTGATGCTGGGACCAGCCCAGAGGGACTTTGCTACTGACAGGATAAAGGCATTCTCCTTGGAGAGGATGACAGCTGCTTCTGTCACACCTTTCTCTTGCAGGCAGGCACAGTGTAAATGTGCATCAAGGAGGGCTCTCCCAGGCACCCGCTGGTCCCTGTGCAAGGAGGATGCAGTTCTCTGTCAGTCGTTGTTCCCTGGCACCAGCAGCAATTAAGGAGACACTGAATTGTGTCATAGGAGAAGCCAGTACACACCAGCAAGAGGCCTCATGAAGCGGGAAGACTGTTCAGCGAGGGGGCAGGCACTGCCAGCCCCAAACACTGTGGCAAGCCTCATAACACTGCACCGGGGCCCACCCAGAGGCAGCCAGCCAGGCCCTGGGGCCTCAGCTTCTTCTCCCCAGACTCCAGGGCAGGCAAACTTCTGTGGACACCGGGAAACGCATTTTCTGGGAAGAGTAAGTGTGAATGTGTCGTTGCTTCAGATGGCCATGCAACCCCCAGATACAGCAGTCCTATTTCAGGTACACCAAGAAAATTGTCCACAAAGGTTCAGGTGTCCTGGCTGTCATTTTATGATTAATTGGGGACATTATTATTTATTAAATATCAACTTGGGTAGTCACAATGCAAGCCCACACTAATCAGCTGTTACAATTGTACAGGTTGTTGACTGATATGAATCAAAGCATCTTTCCGGCTAAGATGGAGTAGGTGTCCAGACCCGAGTGTGGGAGAGCCAGAAAGACAAGCTGTGCCCTGCTTGTCCTCTGGTGTCCAGCCACGGCCCCCAGCCCCTCTGTCCAGCATCAGCGCCAGCCAGGGGAACTGGCTGGTCAGTACTTCGGGGAACCAGAAATAACACTGGGAAAGGGTCAAAAAGTGTCACCTATTTTTCTTTTAAGGAGAAAATTGGTATCTTAATCTTTAAAAGGAAGAATGAAGAGTAAGATTTACTCAGAGTGGGCTGTGTGGTCTCATCCGCACGCCACGAGCCTTCCATGTGCCCCAGAGCAGGAAATGTGAACAAGTCATCTCTGAGTAGGTCCAGCACAGTCGGGGCCACCCAGCTTCTGGGCAGAAGCACCCTAGCGTGGTGAGAACGGGCCCTGTCAAATTGACAAACAGGGCAGCAGACCCAGGACTCTCAGGAACTAAGTCACGACTCTCGTCCTGGTGCCTGGCAGAGCGCTGGAGTGAACTGAGGGAATGCTGTCATCTGTTGGTTTGGTCTGAGGATTGCTTCAGGAGGTGACACAACCAAACGCATAGTTGAGGAGCAATGCAGAGGAAAATGACGAGCAATGTACACAGTGCCGGTGCACGAATCGCAAGGCGCTCAAATGATGTGAAATCTTAAACATGACTCCAAACAAAGCAGCAGCAAGACGGAGTCATTGCATGTTCTCGCTGGTGTGGAGAATACCAGCGGCCTGCAGGGGTGTCATTACCCGAGGGTACGGCTCATTTGCAACACTGGTCACCTCCTCATGGATGGGTGAAGCCCAGCAGAGCCCAGCAGCCTTGGAGACCACTTGGGGCAAGGCCTCATCACCTGGTGCTCACACCTAATTATGCAGGGCAGGTGAGAAGTTGGCGGGTTTCGACCAGCCCCAGAAAGACCAAGTCCAGGTTTCAGATTGGATCTGTGTGCACACACGCCTGCTCCACTGTGGTCCCTGGGCTGCGGGCACAGCACCTCAAGGCCACCTGTGCAGGACGTGTCTGTATCCCAGGAAGTCTTCCGTAAAAATTTTACAGCCATTGGTCAGAGTCCCTCGATATTGTTATCATTTGTCTTTTCCCATTCTGATTACTGCTTATATATTTTTATGTGTGTTTTTGGTTCCTCTAAAAGAATTTCTAATAAGAATCTATATTTGTTTCTCTGATATCAAGAACCCATGGCTTCTATATTTAATCTGATGAAAGGGCGAGAGGTCTCGGGCCCAAGCTGTCCAGTCGGATGGTGACCACCAGCAACAGCGCGAGGAGACAGAGGGCGAGTGAGCAAGGTCTTGTAGGTTGGCAGGTCAGAGCGAAAGGGCAGGACCTGCAGGAGGCCAGGATGGTGACTGCTGATACATGCAGAGATGAAACTCCCAAGAAGTCAGGTGTTGGTGGACTCTTAATATACCATTCTCTTCACATTAGAACTTCCATTTCTACCCAGTGACTGCCATCCCCTGCAACCTTATGTATGTATTAGACAGTTACAAATAGACTGCTATAAACAGCAGCTGTAAATGATGCTCAATTAGACATATGACTCCCTACAGACGTGGAATTTATATAATTTATAATCCAATAGCAACCCTGATTAGGGCCCCTCTGATGCTCCCTGGATTGAGCTAGGAAAGTCAGACTTTCCAAGACCCCCAGTGGATGCCTGAAACCACAAATAGTACTGGACCCTGTGTTCAGGTATGTTTTTTTGATCTGATAATAGAGCATTCTACAAGTGACTCCCTGCCACTCCAGCTATGCTGACTTCCGGATCTTCCTTGAACATGCCAAGCAAGGTCCTACCTCAGGGCCTTTGCACTTGCCAGGCCCTGTGCCACCTGGGACCTTCTTCACCAGCCTTCCCAAGCTTCACTCCCTGACTCCCTTCAGGGGTCTTCTCCAATGCCCCCTTCTAGGCTGCCCTTCCCCGATCATCCTATCCATCACCCTACACCATCATGCTCCTTTATTTTATGTTATCTTCATTGTATCCATTTGCTACAGCTGCTGTAACAAATTATCACAAAGTAAGCGGCCTAAAACTGCAGAAATGTATTCTCTCAGGGTTCTGGAATCCAGAAGTGTGAAATCAGGTGTGACAAGGCTGCACTCTGGCCAGAGGCTTAGGGGGGACCTCTGCTCCTTCCAGCTGCTGGTGGCCCCAGGCACTCCTTGGCGTGTGGCAGCATCACTCTACTCTCTGCCTCAGTCTTCACATCCTCTTCCATCTGTGTCTTCTGTCTCTTACACGGACACCTGGCATTGGATTTAGGGCCCCCCCTAATCCAGGATGATTTCAGCTCAAGATCCTTAACATAATCACATCTTTACAGACCATTTTTCACAGGTTCCAGCGAGTTAGGATGTGGCATGTCTCTCGGTGGCCACCATTCAACCCACCGGCGGCACAGTTTTACTTATTACGCTCGGTGTGCGCCGTCTGGGCGGCGCGCTTGGTGGGAGCAGAGGCTCTGCTTCGCCTCTTCGGCTCCCCGCCCCTGGCAGCGCCGGGCCCGGCAGCTACTCAATGAAGTCTTCAGGAAATACTTTGCACATGCTGTTTGCGGACGGTACTTCCTCCTAGTGTCCTCGCGTGGCGAAAAGAGGCGGGGAGGCTCTCTGAGGTCCCTTTATAAGGGCACCAGACCCACTCGTTCATGAGGACTCCACCCTCACGACCTAATTGCCTCCCAAAGACCCCACCCTTAACTGGGGCCTTTAGTTAACATACTACCATCATGTTGGGGGTACCAAATATTCAGTCCCTAGTCTTCCACTTCCAGAGTAGGGGCAGGGGCTGCTCATGTGTAATCAGGTGTACCGAACGGCAGCCATCTGGATACAGGTGGGTTTGATGCTCAGAGACACCCAGCACTCCTAACTCAGCCAAGCAGTCTGCTGCCCTTGCAAACCTCAGTTATCCCCAATAATGTAATGTGACCCTGCCATTGCGGTGAGGGGGCTGAGAAGATGAGGAACATCTGGTGTATAGTGTTAAGCCTGGTTGTGTACAATTCAGAGATTTTAAGGGTTAAGCATTGCTTACCTCTGCGATTAACAGGGTCCTTAGCGACGTATGCAACATAGTCTGTTGTGTCCTGTTAAAGAAAAAGGAGACATCTGTGTCACTATTCACAGTAAGAGACAACACAGCCAGGGATACAGTGCACAATCCAGCAAGCCTAGAAGGACTCAACCATCACACAGCTATATAATCCAATGCTGGCTGAGTAACAGCCCGAGTAAGACTCAAACCGAAATGTGGGCAGAATCACTCAGCGGTCTTGTGATGCAGGTTCTGACTCGGCAGGTCTGGGGCAGGCCTGGGGCTCTGCACTGCCGGCCAGCTCCCGTGGGACACTAATACTGCCAGTCCATGCTCACACTTTGAGCAACAAGGATGAAAGGCACCTGTCGTCTGCATGTTGGGTCACCCGAGAAATACTGATAACCCAGTCCAACGGGCAGACAATTTGATTTAACTGGTTTGGATGTGAGGCCTGTACATCAGAAATTTTTAGAAGCTGTCTGGATGGTTGCGATGTGAACAAAGTTGAGAACCAACTATCAGCTCTGTCTATACCAGTGGTCCTCAAATTTGAGCTGGTGTGAGAATCTTCTGCAAGGCTTGCTAATACAGATTGCTGGGCCATACCCCAGAGTTCCTAATTCCGTAGTGGTTCTGGTACACTGCCTCAAAATTTGCATGTCTGACAAGTTTCTAGCTACTAGGGATAGGGAAGCACACGTTGAGAACCACTAGTCTAGAAGAAAAGCAGAGTGGTTGCTCACAGGTTAGTGGCACACGCTCCCTGAGAAGTGGATGAAACATGACAGTTATTTTCTTCCCAGACAAAAACAATAATTTGAATCCTTTGAGATGTTTAAAAATATGAGCTCTGTTTAGAAACCTCACCCTTCCATGTGAAATGAGTTTCCTTGCCTGCCTTCTCATTTAACTAGTGCATACAGGAAACTATGATCTCAAAAGTAGGCCAAGGCAACCTGGTGCATTTTAATTTCTAATAATTAATCATTTAGTTTCTAAACAAATAATTCTCTTAACTCTTGAAAACAGAAAAGACTCTTCTGCAAAGCTGATATTTTCAGCATTCAAACAAGTCTCCATGGGGCAACTGGTAAAGATCTTCCCCATTTTTGCAGATATTTCCCAAATGTTACTGCTTCAAAGGGCTTCGCGGTTATTGAGGAGCAGCTGAAAAGGTTCTGCCGTGAGTTGCTCCCCTGTTTTCTCTAGGGGAAGAGGAGATGTCCCCTTGCCTTTTAGTAGCACCCCAGAAAAACTCTTCAGTGAGAGATGGGATGAGGGAGAGAGTGAGTGTGGGGTGGCCATGTCGCTGGAGGGTGGGGGGTGGTGCTGGGCACTTTGCATACTTTGTCGCCTTGGATCTGCACAACCTGAGACCAGAGTGGAGCAGAAGAATTCTTCCAGCAGCTGCGGAGACAATGGAACTACTGCCCTGGGTCATTCCCCAGGGGGCGGGCTCATCTGAGCTATTTTCTTTTCTTACTCAGGACACTGTCCATTAGTACATTAACAGACTGGCTAGGGAAGGGAGGTGGGAGATTGTCAAACTGTCTTCTAGTCATTTCCCTCAAGGGTGATCTGACTAGCATGTGAAGCTATTGGCAAAAATCAGAACTGCAGCTTGTAATCACAGATACTCTTTATCTACTCATGGTATGTGAATTCTGGACGGGCCCTTAGAGAACATCTCAGAGTATCTCAGAAAGCACTGGCGTTTCCCAAGCTGAGTCTAAACAGATGTATTCTCCAGTTTGAGGGGCTGCTGGAATTTATTGTTAAGTTTGTGTTTTCACTCTATTGTTATCTTTAAAATTAATAGAAGAATATCCAGGATCATGTAGATGACCACTATGTTATCAAGTCCTGCATACAATTTCAGTGCCAAGATTTGCAGCTGAGTATCCAGAACACTATGGGTGCCAGGTTTTTAAAGAATTAGAAAGAAGAACAGTCAGAGTAGACTTTGCCCACTCGAGGCAAACTTATGTCACATTCGTACACGATGTACAACTGAAGTTTTTGCTTGAATAGAAAAAATTAGTGGAAGAATTGAGTCATGCATGTGCCCATGGTAACAGACACCAAACTCAAAAGACTCTGTACCATGTGGCCTGCCCAGTATCACATTTGGGAACAGAGATTTAGTTTCAGCAAACTTTGTCCATCACAGTAAATTAATGTTACTTTGAATGTTATTGGCTTTACAGTGTTTATTTGTATTTAACCTCCAAATTTTATTGGGGTTTAGAGTTCAATAAAAAGTATAAACATAAGAAGTCTACTCTTTATTTTTGTACATATTCGAGTAGCAAAATTAGAATCAGCCTTAGTGGCATATACCAGAAAATTATTTTTTTAAATTTTTACTTTGGTCTAAGAAACTCTCTTGTGGCTCCAAGTTGAGGAAGAAGAGACAGTAAAGAGACATAATGTGCCCTGCCCCGCAGACGGCCAATGGCCAAGCCAGGACATCGCTTTTCTAACCGACATTGACCCTTCCCTGGCACAGCAGGTGAGCCTGTCGCTGCTTAAGGCAGCGTTCTTGTCACCAGCCAGCCGCACAGCGAGCACACTAGGTCCAAAGACAGAGGTCCAGAGTGCTCGTTCTGTGCTTCCCCGTTCCTGTTCTTACTCCCCAAGACGCTCCTAGCCTGGCTATTGTTCTGGCATTCTTTTGGTGGTCTTTTAACACGACTAAAATAGCATTAATAGATTGTAATTATAGCTTGCCCATTTTGGAGGGGGATTCATAGTGTTTTATAGTCTGTCTTGTTTGACATTTCAAAATGCCATTTTCCTACTGGGTAAACTGAGGCACAAAGCAATAAATGACATGTGCACTTAGCAGGAGAACAAAGGATAGAATCTAGAATTGTAAATTTTATTAAAAACATCTACCACTAAGCTGGGCACGGTGGCTCACACCTGTAATCCTAGCACTCTGGGAGGGCGAGGCGGGCGAATTGCTCAAGGTCAGGAGTTCAAAATCAGCCTGAGCAAGAGCGAGACCCCGTCTCTACTATAAAGAGAAAGAAATTAATTGGCCAACTAATATATATAGAAAAAATTAGCCGGGCATGGTGGCGCATGCCTGTAGTCCCAGCTACTCGGGAGGCTGAGGCAGGCGGATCACTTGAGCCCAGGAGTTTGAGGTTGCTGTGAGCTAGGCTGACGCCACGGCACTCACTCTAGCCTGGGCAACAAAGCGAGACTCTCTCTCAAAAAAAAAGAAAAGAAAAGAAAAGAAAACATCTACCACTTGTAACGTGCTGAATTCATGATTACAGGTCAGTCTGGAGTGGGATCTCGTGCACAACACAATGTGCACTTGGATTGGTTAATGTGGGAAGTGTCAAGGCTTCCTGTCCCCTGTTATGACATTTTCTGTACCAGAAAAAAAAGATCACAGAAAATATAAAAGGTTATGGATTACTTTAAGGATTACTGAATGTTTCAGATTGTTTTTTTAAATGAAGAGATAATGAGGAAATGTGGAGAAAATCGTATAGTCCAGTGTGCATGCTGGAGAACAAAACAGCTTTAGCACAAACCGATGTGTTGGGCTTCCCTTGATCAAGATGTTTGTATCTCCAACTCATAATATCATCATTGAGACAAGGTTTCAGAAACGTTCTTGAAGGGAGCTATTAATGCAGGTGTACAAGACCTCTGCCTTTTATCTTTCAAACCGGGATACCTTCAAAATTTAGGAAACTATGGTAACAAGCATCACGGTGGGCAAGCAATTAGACAACCACCACAAACTAGTTAGAGCTAGAGCTAGATACAGAGAAAGGTGTAGGGCTATGTATAGGGACAGCACAGGTGGAGAAAAGGTAGACGTATGCACACGTACAGGATCTTAAGAAATGTGCCTTGGATGAATTTGATTAGGGGAGACTTCCACTTTCTAAATATACATCTGGATGAGGTCACTCGTGTACAATGAAACAAGAAATCGTAAGGATTAGAAAGCAAGGAAAGGCACAACAAGGAAAGGGAAGGAAAAAAAAAAAAAGAAAACCACTGTGGCAGAGTTTTCACAACAAGACCCTCAGTATGAAAAAGGTCTAAACCATTTGACCCTATGGAATCGGTGCTCTCGTTCGTCATCCTTTGGTAACTGGGCCGAGACACAGGGGCTAAAACCACCTAGAGGGCAGGCAAATCCCCTCCGCTGCCAAGCACCTGGCTCAAGGATCTGACATGGGGTTGCTGGAAACAGCAGGGCCCAAGCCTCTGGCGGCAGCCTGTGCCAGCCCTGGAGGAGCGATGCCCGCAGTGGCCATGGCGCCTGCCCTGCGCCTGCCAGGTGGAGTACGGGAGGGAAGGCGGGATGGGCACTGGGGAACGCCCTTCCTGGGCTAGGACTACACAGGTCCCTGCCTCGAGATGAGATTAATAAAACATGCAGATCGCTCAGGCAACCTTGGACTGGTAAACTTTTATGTAAAATCTGAAGTTGCCAATTAATAATTTGGCCAAATAACACAAAATGACAATAATAACAAAGCATTACCATACGATATTATGTTATCATAAAAAGGCTAACATCAAAAAAATAAAATAAAAAGGACTTCTTGGGATAGAAGATCATTTTTTCAATTGAATAAATTTAGCTACAAGAAAAGCTCACTCTATCATCCTAATTTTAACATTTTTCCCTGGACAGGTGAGAAGTTTGCCCAGAGCAATGACAATTGATATGATCACACTCCAGAGGGTGAGCCTTTCTCCCCCTTCCCCTGTGGGAAGGGCTGACTTTGCATTCTCCCCTCCTTGCTCTGGGTTCGCCCTCTTGTGACCGGTTTCCTGCCTGGTTTCTCTGAAGAGCCGGACCACAGACAGCGAGCAGCAGTTAGCGTGTGGCCACAGAGCAGGAGGGGCTGTCTGCATTCCCCTTCCTGGCGGTGCAGCTAGCGATGGCCACAGAGCAGGAGGGGCTGTCTGCATTCCCCTTCCTGGCGGTGCAGTTGCGACGGCCACACTGGTGCCGAAGCTGGCGTCGGAGCGCGGCGTTCCTGCCAAACGCGGGAGCGCGCCCCTTGCTAGTCTGCCTTCTTTATTTAAGCAGAGAGCCCAATAGAGCGTTCTCATTCTGCTCTCCCTCCTCCCTCGCTATCTGTCTCTGCAATTCCTTCCTTGTTGGCAAAGCAAACCATTAAGGGGCTACAGTGCTAACATTTGGAGAAAAAAACGTCGATTTTAAATGTTTATGAATAAACCAGATTATGTAAATGCACAGCCTTTGAGTACACTTAAAATATAAAAATGGAGGTCCGATCAGAAAATAATAAACAAGCAAGGCAAGCACAGAGTGACGCGGGAAAGTCCCTGGCAACTCTGAAAACTGGGGGCTACTTTGTCACCTCTTAAGAAAACCAGTGCTTCCAGGATTTTTGACAGCTTTTGGCTAATGAAATGAAAGTTGATGGTAGGGCCTTGTCCTAGGTTACCCCTACAAACATGATAGTCAAGATGACCTTTGGCATCAGGAGGGGAAACCAGCTGGCGTCACAGCTGACCTTCCTGGTGGCGTCTCACGAGGTGCACTTTTGAGGCGGAAACCCCTTCCCAGACATTCCCAACAGCAGCGGAGGAGCAGCCAGGGACACTTACCGGGTCTCCCCCGGAGGCAAAGGAGATGGACCGCATGTGGTGGTTCGCTATGATCTGCGGGCCCAAAACAAGAAACAAGATGTGCTGTTACCACCCTTTCCATGTCTTGGAAAGCCAGCTGTTTATTGGCAGGCATTACAAAGTGACACGTTTTCCTGAGAGCCCGTACCCATAGGAAAGTCAAAACTATCAAAGTAATAACAGTAGATAGCCTTTCATAACTGGTGGCTGCTGTCCCGCGCTTTGCCAGATGATCTCATCTAAATGAGCAACCTGTCATGTAAGAACTGTTGTAAGCCCATTTTACAGGTGAGGAACCCGAGTCCACAGGGGCCAAAAGGCTTGCTCAGAGTACAAGAGCTAGTCATTGGCAGAGCTGTGATGGAACACGGGGCAGGCCCTTAACACCCATGCCTTTTTCACAAGCAAACTGTCTCACACACACACCAAAACATCGCACCTTACAGATTCTGGTTCCTAGAACACACGGGGTCTCTGATACGGACTCACGGCTAGAATGGGGGCAAGTGTGCCCGTCCTCGCATTTCATCCCATTTGTATCATGAGCATACAAATTAGAAAGCCGGCCTCCAAGATTCAAAGTCAGTACCATCTAGAGCATTCCTGTCATTTATCAATTTAAAAACCAGAGGGGACAATCCAAGTTCATTTTAAAATGGGAAATTTCCATTAGCCGTACAAATTGCAGTATACAATGGAATTTAGTAGACACTGAGTAAATTAGAAGCTGCCCTAAATTTAAAAAGCTACGTAAGTCTTCCATTCTATTTTTATGTTTTTAAAGACAATGCAATGACACCAAAGTAAATTTCCAGGGGTGGGGACGGAGCACTTGTCTCCACTCCAACCTAACTGGGTTCATTTCTGCAGTCCCCTGGGAACCTGGCCCCTGGGCAGGCAGGTAGAATTTTATACAGCCATAATCATACATCCCAGCAAGTTGTCCAAACTTGCTCCTGTGAAATTTGAAATAAAATATAACTGAATTATAAACGGAAATGGGATAGTTTTTAATGCCTACTTTAATTGTTGGCACTTGCAAAAAGTCAGGATCCAGAGAAACCTGAGTGTATACGTGAACAGAGAACGAGGCTGGCCTGGTGGCCTGCGCCGAGCCAGACAGAGTACAGCTGGTGACAGTGGCCCTTCTCCTCTCACTGGACTCTCCCCCAGCCCAGGGGTAGAGGCCTCCTAAGAGAACAATGAGGAAATAGCACTCACCAAATACTGATAAACTATGGCTTCCACATTTTAAATGTTTGCTTATTTAATTTTTGATCATAAGGCAGCTCCACAACTGGGGTTTGGGAATTAGATTGGAAGCTATGATCTGGGAAAAAAATGAAAGTCATATTTGGCCAACATGAGGCATGGGCACTGTGGTTGAGCGCCACCCCTGTGGGTAAGACAGAAACTGCAAACGGGAGTGAGAAAATGAACGCTACCTGGCCCAAAGCATGTGTTTCTGCTCTGAATGGTGCATCTTGTTTCTTCTACTGGGAACTCTGAAAGACAAGTGGGTGTGGTCTTGCTGCTGTCTCTCCAGATAGAAAAGGGCATGTCCAGCCTGGCTGCTCTCAATTTGCTACGGCTGGACCCAAAAGTCAGCTGGAAGGGACAGCCAGAGTCCTGCGTGCTGTGCCTCCTGCCCCACGGCCACAGACTCGCCTTCTGAACTGCCAGCCCCGCCCCAGGGAAGAAGACCCCACCTGGACACCGTTGCCCCACCGCCACGTCCCAGAATGGAGCAGAGCCAAGCTGGCGCCTCCTCCCAATGCTCTGAGCATTTGCTTTCTCTTTTATTGAGGCGGGCAAAGGCAATTCTCGGAGGAGATCCCATAGAACTGACACACCTGAGGACTAAACAAAAGATCCCCAAGTCATATACAAAGGCACACCGTGGCTGTGACCGGGCATGCGGAGCCCGGTGGACCGGCCTCTGTACACAACAGGTGCTCCCCACGGGAGAAAGGCTGAGCCTGTCCAGCACGCCAAGTCCACAACCTCCAGAGCAGATTAAAGATAAAAAGACTCAAGGGATTGTCTATTGGTTCCATGAGGATAAAAGAATCGAGGGAGAAGTGGTTTCCAGTTATGGCAAAACAAAGCCATGTTGCTTCTCATTTCTGCACAGGATCAAGGATCTATTTCAATGCCTTGGGTGGGAGGCGGAGGAATAAATGAAGCTGGGGGTGCTGCTTGCTTATCTGGGTGATACAGCAATCAATTAATACAAACATGTATAGCAACAGAAAGGCCACCATGTGACACCTGGTAACACACCGTCAGGATCAGGCAGTGCCGCGCTGAGGCCACAGCCGAGCGCCAGCTCTCACTGCCGGCTCCCGGCGCGCGCGGCCAGGCAGCGGAGGCAGCCCCTGGGCTCGCCCCTGCACACTGCGCGAGCCTTCCACACCCTTTGTGCCGCGTTTGACCTTCAGAACTGCCTCGTTAGTAGCCAGGACAGCTACTCACATGCCCGTTTTACCAGCCGAAGAAATGAACAAGAGATAGATGGAGAGGCCTGAGAGACGGACGCTGCGCAAGAGCACACACACCCTGAACAGAATCAGCCTTACTGAACACTGTGGCCGTGCCACCGCAGTCCGCCCCGTCCACTCCGCACGGCTGTGCCGCAGGCGTGCCGCGTCTCGCCACCCTACCACACTCTGTGCCACATGATGCTCCAAAATAGCAAGCTATTAAGGGGGAAATGCTGTCAGTTAGATTCTGCCATCCACTTCAAAGGTGATAAAATAAAATGTGGCCTACAAACCAACAAAATATGATATACAAATAAAAAAATAAGGGCAAGGACGTTAAGAGGAGACTTTGCACGTACATCATCTTTCTTACATTGCAAGTAGACCAATGATTTCATGCATTGTCCTCCCTGCAAAAGGTAGTTTATTGCAGAATTAAAGAGAACCAATGCATACATCCTTCGGTTGGTGACCAAAGTGGCCAAAGTTCATAGACTAGTAAAGATTTGATGCAAACATATTCCAGGTGAGCTCAGTAGAGCTGCGAGGTAGACGCCTATGAAACACCCATCATTTGGGGTTGTTGGCAGGGACGGAAGGTCTGAGCACCCACAGACCTGTTTGGAGTCAGGTGTCCGCAGGTTCAGACTGGCGGTGGAGATGGTCAGAGAAATGCTCATCCCCGCAAACTGGAGGTTGCTCTTTCCCAAGATGCTCGACAGCATTTTGCTCGGAGGCTGTGAAATCAAAGAGCAGTATTTTAGCTGTTTATTTACTGGAGGCCGCACTATCTGGGCCTTTGTGTCTTTCCTGTCTAAAAGGGTTGGGACACCAATGCCTCTACACCCCCAGACCCTCACTGACTGTCCCTTCCTCCTTAGGCACAGGAAAACAAAGTGAAATGAATGAGCTGGGAGGGTGGGATTCAGGGCTAACATGCACATTCTAGAAGATGCGATATGAAAATTGCAAACCATCTAATATGCAAACACTGAGATGAGGATTCTTGCAGGCAGTCAGAGGTATCAGCATCTCATGGGAGTCCCTTGTGTTTAAACCCAGGGAAAGTGCCACAGGCTGTCAGGGCCTAGGGACATAGGTAGCAAATAGCCCGCCATTAGCTTCTGTATTAGGCCTGCTTGCGTAGGAGATTGGAAAATTTTCAGCTGACCCTTATCTGACTCTGGACCTGCCATCTCACTCCTGCTGGTCTGATTAAGTTTAGAGACTAAGGAGAAGTGTGGTGGCGCATGGCACAACTGCCCACAAGATACAGCCGCCAGTCCAGGGTCGAAACGCCCTGGACCCCTGAGGTGCCTGGCATGCTCTGTGTACCTAGTGGATGCGCTTAGGTCACAGAATGCAGGATGTATTTCAACTAAGATTAATGTCCATAATTAGGATACTTCAGAGGCTTCCTCTTGGCCTAATCTTAGCTGCAGCCGGTGACTCCTACAAAACCCATCTCAAGGTTTCAAACCCCCCGATTGTGCTAAAACAAGATAGAAGTGTAAGATTAATGCTTTCTCTCACTTTTGTAAAAGTGCTTGCTAATTAGATTTTTAGAGTGTGGTTTTTGCCTTTTAAAGGGGGCTGTTTTTCCCTTCTCCGCACTACTTTCTGTGCCTGCCACTCTGCAGGGCAGGAGTAGTCCTGGCCAGTAAATAAAGACTCACTATTTGACCCAATTCGGTTTCTAAGGTGGTCTTTTCTCGCACTCCGCACTCTGCACCACAGGCCAGGCCCAGCCCAAGCTTGCAGACTCAGAAACCTGGTTCCGCCACACCGCAAGTCAAACTACCTCTCAGGAGAAGACTAAGACATACGAGCTCTTGGGGCTTACGGGCCATCCCAGAGCACTGTGAGGATGCTTGTTGCTGAAGGGAATAAACCACAGATCTTTTGGCCCAAACATCCGCCCAGGTCAGGGCTCTCCTAGACTGTCCAGTTAGAATCTGATGGGCCTAGAGCTAGCTCAAGGATGGACAGACAGTCTGCCTATACCTGGTGTACCTATCACCCTGACAGAAACGTCCTTGGCACAGGACGGCTGCCTTTTCCAGCCAGGCCCCTTCTCTCTGGGGACCTAGAGGGGCACTACCAACCCACTCTCTCTGTCCTTCGGGACCAACCCATCCTTTGGTTTGGGGTTAGAATATTCTATGTTAACTAGTTTCTAACCAGGTACACACTGTTGCTAATCTCCTGAAGAAGCTATTTAAAAACAGAGACGCCCAAGCCCCACCCATGAGACTCTGATCAAGTACACCTGGCTGGACCCCGGAATGGGCATTGTTTCCACCACTTCCACCGCAGAGCCCTGAGGGCACCCCAGGGCTGCCAGCACCGCCTCCCTCTGAAAGACGAGATTCCGTGTCTGTTCGCAGACACCTTCGAGTAATGCTCCTGCAGTCAAGAGTCCAGAGCCCCGCTTGGTCCCAGGACCCCGCAGGGACTGAGGCCAGCATAGGCTGCACACGGAAGCCTTCCTCCAGTGTCCTCTGCCCCACACTCAGCTGCCTGTGGGGGCGTGACGTCCCCAGTCCTGAGCGTGACGTCCCCAGTCCTGAGTGCAGAAGCCCTGGAGCCCTGGGCCAGCAGAGCCCAGCACCCCAAACAGTCTGCAGTCTCCTCTCAGCCCCGGGCGGGCTCAGACGTCCTCCGAGGGACACCGATCCTACAGTCCAGTTCAGGCATAGAAAAGTCCTGACAGTAGGGTTTTAGTTATACACTTACCAGACACTTAACTAAAGAATTTTTCTCACTTTTTCCTAGTCCAGGCTTTTGTTTTTCTTCTGGTCCAACCACCTTCAGGATGAAAAGTTCTACAGCGCTGAACATGCAGCCTCGAAGACCATCTGAGCTTGACCTCAGTCACCCCCTACCCGCACGGTGGCCACCCCTCTCTGTGCGTCAGTTTTCATCACCTGCAGCATGGGGATATTCAGCAGTGTTCTGGCAATGGCTTGTACCAGCTAATGAGGCCCAATTATTAAATTTAGCAATTTTATAATCTGGCCATTAAACACAGCTGTTATTAAAAACTAAATTATGTAAACTTACAATTAAATAAATTACATTTAAAAAACGGATAATAAATCTTCAACACTCATCACTTCCTAATTGTTTTGCTATATTAACTATTAGCTCTGCTTTTCCAGTTACTTGTATCTATTGGATCTGTACAGTGGACAAGCTATTGCACCTCTCTTCCTAACTATGTTTTCAGGCACAGGAACAGCATGTTGAGAGCTGGAAATCAGCCACAGTGGAAGCATTTACACCACAGAAATTGGCAAATGCTACAAATTTAGTGCTTTCATTCTCCTTCCCAACCGGAGAGCTGGGTGTGAAACATCACCAACACGCCACTGGAGACAGCTCCCGTAAAGAGTTGTTAGAGCTAAGGGCATTGATAGAAAGTGCTCGAAGACCTGTCTGGCCCTGATTTAAGTGTTTGCTGTTATCATGATCTTCAGGGTTAAAGCCACAGTGAGTGACCAGGGTGTCGCTTTTGGGACAGTGACAGCTAACTGTCCTCAGCCTCATAGGAGAGAGAGCAATCGAAACTCTTTCTGCTTTTAGAAGTGGCAAGAGCCAGGCCACAGAAAGAGGACAGCAACTCCCTGTGATTGAAGATGCTGGGTGGTGAAATGAGAACGGAAGGAGGAGACACTGCTACACGCGGAGTGTGAGCACGGCACCTTTCTCTTCCTGAAGGCTCCTTTGGCACCAGGGACAGCTTCGCAGACTCGGCTGATGGCTTCCCTGCGGAGGACAGGAAGAAAGATCCACTTTATCACGTGTTGATCAGGATTATGGAACCCAGAGACCCTACACCTACACGACTAGAGAAAATAACTGCCTGTTTGTTTCAGTATAAAAAATAAATAGCCGTCAATTTAGCAATCAGCTGATTTCTCTTCTAAAACATAAAACTAAGCAAAACACAGACAGGTCATCTCTGACTGGCAATGTCCCAGTTCTCTTTGTTGTGGTGGTTGTATGCCAATACTGTATGCATACCAATGCCACATCTTGTAAGGGACGTTCGGCTAAGATTCCATTTTTTAAACCCAGCACCCTAAATGTACTCTTCCCAACGCTATCTTCATTTCTGTGGCCAGGACACTAGGCCCACTCCTAATCAATCACTGTTAAGGATCAAAAAACCTTCTGCAGTGAGTTAGAATACAATACATTTGGTCCTCGAGTTTCATTTCCAGCTGCTGCAGGAAATAATATAGAATCCAGAGAGTTTAGAAGGAGGAGAGGACCTCCCGTGGCATATGAACAGCCATAGTGAGGTCATGGGCAGAGCAGCGCCAGGAAACCGTGGGGCAGTGACTACATCCAGGTGACACCGGAAAGTGACCTCCCATGCTGGGAGCCACTTGAGGTCCATGCGGGTCCTTGGCTTCACACTAGAAAGAATTCAGGAGTGAACTGACAGTATAAAGTGAAAGTGAGATTTCTCCAGAACAGCGGTCCTCACACTACGGCCCGTGGGCCACATGCGGCCCGCCGAGGACATTTATTCGGCCCTCCAGGTGTTTTTGCCGCCGCTGCCTGTCCTGCTTAGCAGCCGACTCATCCCAGGCCCACAGTGTGCAGTGCGCATGTGTGGAATGTGCCCCGCCCTCTCCAACGGCCCTCCAACGGTCTGAGGACAGTGAACTGGCCCTTGTTTAAAAAGTCTGAGGACCCCTGCTCCAGAGACTACAGAAGGTCCATTCCACAGACAGAGCAGAAGCTGGCTCTCCCTGCAGGGCCGGCCCTGGTCCCACTGCCTTTCCGCGGAAGCCACAGTTTAGTTAACCAGGGGCGGAATATTCATAAAGGGTGGTGTTTTCCTGGAATCGGTGACGCCCTCCATTCCTCCACCATCTTGGCTCTAACCACATGGGACTGTGCCCCGCTGCATGCTGATTTGAGCAGGGCAGTTGGGAGCTTTGTTTTGAGACTTCCTGACCCAGTCAGGCAACGCGACAGCAATGCCGAACGCAAAGCAGCACCTGCCGGTCCCGTGTCACAGGCACTGTCCAGCCAGGGCAGCAGGGCAGGGGCCTAACGTGCAGTGTGCAGGGGCAGAGGGCACTGGGAGCTGAGGGAGCGCCATGCGGTGGAGGCGCTGAGGCCTGGAGGCAGGCAGTGAGGACCAGGGTGACAGCAAAGGGGTGCCGAGGAGCAAACACACCTTGTGACTCCAACCACATGAAAATGGCTGGGAGACGGCCACAGGTGGCTCCACCTCAGGCACCCAGAAAGGCGCAGGTGAGTGTCTCGACTCCCACATAGAGGAGGAGAAAACAGCAGGACACAGAGGAAAATAAATGAACAGGAATTTGGAGACACAGTGAATGAGAAGGAAGATAACGGGTCCTCAGAAACATTCTATAGACTTTCCAAGATCAATATTCTTTAAATTGATCCCTACCATCCAAGCGAAGGGTAATCCCCGTCACAACACAATGCTTTTAAGGGAATGTCAGGACACTGTGGAGTAGGCTTTGAAGCAGTGTGACTTGGAAAATGTAAAGTGAGAAACAAAGGTTTTTGGCGTTGATACTTACTCATATTTACTTTATAACACTATTCTGTCTGTGGTTCTACTGAAGTGATCAATCAGGTATCACCCAAAGTACTTTCTAAAAGTAAATCCCATTGAAGGTCAAGCTGTCTCTTTGCAGAACTATAGGAGCCCTATTGTCTATATTTTATCTGTTTAATTTTTTTAAAAGAAACAGTTCAGTGACTTTCTGCATTGTGCTTATTACATTAAGTGATGTCTTTAGCTGAGCAAGGCAGACAAAGCACTGATGGCCCCAGCAGGCTAGAGAGGAGTCTCTCCTAAGTCGTTCTGTGAACACTCCTAAAAAGCCTCAGTCATCCACAAGTCACGCAGTGCCGAGCAGCAGGCCTCTGCTCCTTCTGCACTCCTGGGGGAGGCAAGGAGGAACCACACGGCAGCAGTGAGAAGGGATTACAACGCTCTGCGATCATGAACCGTTCTACCCAATGCCTCCTCACACAGAATGGCACACAAGGGTCTCAGAGCACATTGGCAAATGTAAGAAGTTTAAGAAATTTCTCAGAGCTCGGGTACTCAAGAAAAGTCCTAAGGAGCCCACTTGTGAGCCTTTAGAACCCCCAAAGGGGTTTTCAAATTGAGCCGCTTTTCAGAAAAATGTTCTTCCTTCATCATTGGCATAAATTTGTTCCTAATGTTCACATCATAACATGTGTGTGGATTCTCATTCCAGCCAGGCTGATGGTATCTATTTCTGTTTGAAATAGAAATGTGACATAACTATTAATAACATCAATATTTAGATGTCTGAAATGAGTTACTTAAACTCTAAAATCTAATTTTAAGTGTAACTATTCTCAATTTCCCTCCGAACTGTTTGAGTGCAGTGCATTTTGGTGAGCAGTACTGTTTCAGTTTGTTCACTTAGCAATAATTATTTAGCTTTGTGTAATTCCATTTAATCCCCATTTGAGTTCCAGGTACCAATTTTGCCACTTTTAATAATAGAGATTGCTTCTTAACATTCTGTTCCGTGTGCCCACATTTCAGGGAGCCAAATCATGACCTCAGAGCTCGGCTAATATGAAAATGGACCATTTGGCAGGCTCCATGGTCAGTTGGAAGGAACCAAAGCCAGCCCTGCCCCAAATGCATACCGTTGCTTTCCTCCGGATTTTACCATCTTCCCCTCTTCGGGCTAAAGTTCTCGTCAATAGGGCCAGTACCATTCACAGTGAATGACATTTTCACTGGAATGTAGAATTTTAGAACTGGACCCTTTGAAATCATGTAGCTCCATCCTTCTCCCTCCTCATCCATCTCACCATGGCCCAGCCTGTTGCCCCAAACACATACATACTTTAAAGACGGAAATAATGAAAAATGAAACAGCAGAGAAGTTAGATGATTTATGCCCTCCTGGGTTTATATGCATTTAGTAGGGGGAAGGGGAAAGATGACAAGCAAACAGATACATGAAGCAGCAAATGGAGATCAATTTCATGAAAAAAAAAAAGAAAAAAAACAAGGAGTGAGCCGCATGATGCCCCTGGCTCCGGAGGAGGTGACGCTTGCTGGGTGTGCAGCTACCCAGGGCAAAGTGAAGCTGGGCTCCTATCTCCCGCCTTCTGTGCAGATAAATTCTAGATGGATTGCAAATTGAAATTTGCTTGTAATGAAACCATGAAAGTACTAAAAGGAAACTGGGAAGGATATTTTTTAATTATCTTTGAGTAGAAGGATGATACAAAATCCAGAAACCAATAGCATAAAAATAAAAATTTATGCACAAGAAAAACTGGTGCCATTTCACTGTCAAGGAGAGAATAGCCTTAATATAAGTCAGCAAGGAAAATGCCAAAAGCCCAATGGAGAAAATAAACAAAGGATATAAACAAAGAGTTCACAAGAAAGGCAATACAAATGGCTCTTGAAAATATAAAAAAAAATCTCAACTTTACTCATAACAAGAAGGCAAACTACACCCTAAACTCAAGTTCTGTTTTCACAGCCCAAGACCGAAGCGCGGTGGCTGTGCAGGGACACAGGCGCTCGCGGATGGTGAGCACAGAGCTGGGCACAGCCTCAGCCACGGCCCCAGCAAAACAGAAGGTGCACAAACCCCTTGGTCCCAGAAAGTTTCGCTCTAAACACACGCAGATGGGCTAGAGGACCTTAGAAACATGTTGATGGCAGCAATATTTTTAGTAGACAGAGGAGAAATAATCAATGACTACTATTAAGACCCAGTTTACCATAAAGTAGGTGACCAACACAGCCACGCCACTCCCGAGAGAAATGCCTTGAGGGTCTTGTTTATGCCCCTTCTCACCCCGACTCCCTCCTCAGCACCCCTGTCAGGGTCCTGTTCCCACAAGTCGCTCCTGCAAAATCGCCAGCTCCCTCCCGTAGCGAATCCAGCCGGACCCTCGCTGACCCTCTGCTGCAAGGGGGGGGGGGAGTGCGGCAGGGCTGTCATGCCCTGACTCCACTCTTCTGATGCAGTGCGCTCAGTGGGCCCATTGCGTCCCCACCCAGGCCCAAGCCCCTATCTAATCCACTGGCTTTCACACAAGAAAAAGTCCTCCCTCACTGATACATCACATCAGCCATCAACGTGTCCAGGCCCAGCGGAGCAGCAAGGACCCTGAACTTCATGTGGAGTGAAAGCGCTCCCCTGCCTCCCTAAGGCTTGCCCTGGCCTGCAAACTTCCAGGTGGCCGTGGAAGAAAGTACCTGCTAACCTCAGAGCTTCAGCTCCTCGCCCCTTGGCAGGGTGGGGTGACAGCAGGGTGGGTACAGAGAGGTCAGGGTCAAGTGGTCACTCCAACAGCCCGGCACTAGGCCCTGCGGCCCAGCATTAGTAGCTGACTCTTTCTCGCACGCTTTCTTCTCTTCTCTAAGGCTCCTCCTCTAGGAGCATGTGGGTGTCCGTGAGGTGAAATGACCAGTGTCAGTTCATCCCCAGGCACCGGATTGCTGCCAGCGTCCACACCAGTAGGCCGCTGCAGTCTCTCGCTGTGGACATGGCTCTGATCTTCAGCAGACAGCCCTTGGGGTGAGGCCACAGAGGTGCCCCGTCCCTGGGACCAGCACCTCTGCCAGGCTGCAGTGGGAGGCTGGTTTCTCCCCAAGTGCAGCCCTCCTGCTGCGGGCTTCGCTCGTGTGGTTGAGACACTGGTCCACGGGTGACAAGGACCCAAAGTGTGTGTCATCTCCTCGAAGCCCCTCACTCTGT